GCATTTAAGAACTAGAGGAAAGTTATATGTTTCATCATCATTATGCACTCTTTTAAAAACAGTGTATTATTTTTGGTATTCAAACACTATTTCCTCCCAGTTTACATAAAATCAGAAGGAGACAGTTTGGTTTAAATGATCATTCCTGAACAATGTTTCTAGATCATTAAAATTCCACCTTCCACAGAAACTCATACAGATAGACTATAGCATCTGAAAGTTATGAAGATAGAAGGAAAAAGCAAACAGGTACAGAACTCACCATAGCAGTTAGGTGGATGAGACCAGCCATCCTCACCACATACTACAGAGCCTGTGGTGCTTCCACCTGTGATTTCATAGCCATCATGGCATTCATAGTCCAGCCGGTCATTTAGCTTGAACCATGTGCCATTACGTTTGGCTCTGGCATTCTCAAATACTGGCACGTCACAAGATTCTGTTGCATGGTAAAATTGAGCATTTCATTTCATGTTATTTAGTGGGCAAACCAACTGAATAAATTTTATCTCAGAAACAATACATCCTACCTAAGTATGTATCTTTTAAGGTCACCCAAGAGGATTTAAGAATTGCTTTCCTAAATCACGATTACATTAGAAATGCATGCCTATGATTTAAGCATTCCCTACTTCACTTAAATCATTTGAAAATAACATTATTTTAAGTACCTTTTTCTCCATTCCATTTATTCTTGTGTATGTCCCGTGCAGGTAAAATCAAAGGTCAATAGAGTCTAATTCTTTTTCAGCAAACCATAGTAAAACATTTTTAAAAACAAAAATAACAATCTTATGATCATTTGAGATATATATATGCTAGAGTAAATGGATAAATAGGATATGAAGATGTCGTATGACATTTTCTCTCTCATACGGGAGTCTTGTAATAGGTATTTATCACAGTGTAGGATAAAACAAGTTGCTAGAAGGTCAACTTTTGTCATTTTCCCCTAAGTTCATAGTAAAAGCACTCCCCCCAAAACTTTAATTAAAAATAATTCCATACTCATATAGATATATTCATGAAACACTGCCGAGTCACTTTGCAGGGGAGAGAGGCTATATATCACTTTAAGGAGCAAATTATTCTGACCCATGTTCACTGAGTCCTTTCCAACTCTCCTCACACTCTGTAGAGTTTCTAAGGCTTTGTAAATCTCTAAGGGAGCGGACAGACTCAGCTTCTCCACATGGAGTGGTGGGTTTGGGTCGCAGCCCTTAGGGTTAGCGCTTTTACACTGAGCCAAATCTCCTACCAGAGCTTCAACCCGTTCGTAGAGAACCTTTATAAGTATCGAGCCATTGCAGTAGGAGGCAATTTTGATCACAATGAAATTTTGTACTTTCAGAATGCTCCTCCCTTACACAAATAATGAAGATTTTTCAAAAGGGCCGCAGGGACTTTCATAGGTTGGCATCCACTTAAATTAATTGTTTACATTGTAAAGGCCAGATTGTTCTGGGATTCTGTACCATGGATGGTCCCTTTATTTAAAAACACAACTTCTCTGTCTAGCAAAAAGGCCCCATTATAGAAGATTAGTCACCTAAACACAGGCATAACAGAAACAATTTCAATGGAAACAAACCCACCAACCCGTGTTTACAGGCTCAAATGAAAAGAAACATATTTACTCCTGAGTACACATAAAACTCACTAACTATCTTCCAAATCTGAGGATTGTTTTGAATTAGGAAAAACTTGAACTCCAAAGATGGTATGATCTTTTATCCTACCAGTAATTTTGTAAAAAAGGCAAAAATGACTTATATGCCTAATTATAAATATACATATATACTCAATTACATATATGATTTCTTTAGTAGATCCATTTTTACATATTTTATCTATAATCTACCTTATATATATGATTTCTACATTATATGTGGTTTTTACATTTTATATGTATGCTGTGTATTTTCTATAGGGTTGCTACATTATTTATATGATTTCTATATGCTATATATAATTTCAACATTGTGTATGATTTTTTTAATGTACATTATTCCTATGTTTAGGACTTCCATAAATATATTATAATATATAACATATAATTTTCATATTATGTATATGGTATTGCTTATCACTTCTATATTATTTTATCATTTCTGCATTATATCTATTTAGTTCATCATTAGAAGCCACACCCTCTTCCTACCATTTCCTAAAATCAGAAAATTAAGGTGAAGAAACTACTTGGAATCTATCATAAAAACATAAACTTAGTAAATTCCTTACTAATGCATGTCGGTTGAATTGACCATCCACTTTCCAAGCACGTAATGAATCCCGATGCTTTGCCATCTGCTGTCACATATCCTGATTTACACGTATATTGTGTTCGCTTATTTACAGGATATGTAAAATCAGATTCAGAAAGAAATCCATTCTCAATATTTATATCTGTTTTAGAACATGTTTCTAAAGGAAGAAAGTACAATGAAATGATAAGCATATGTTCAATAAACATTTTTTATTCAGAGTCAATTAATAAGACCATATAATAAAATACATCATGTATAAATGAAACTCTGAAGTAATTACAATTATTCAAGATATTTGAATGAGAAAAGATGCTGTTTCATAAGCTATCATAACAAAAAGCTTCATTAAATATATCTGAAAGAAGGCAGATTGAAAATAAGCATTAAAAAGGCACCGTGGCAGCTATAGCTCTAGCATGTTGTAGGCTTCCAGACCCATAGACAACTCAATATCTGATAATTTCTTAGAAGGAATTATGAGTGTTGTGTCACAGATAGATTGATAGTTGCCATAGCGTCCACTCAGAGAGAATGAAATGTTGCCAGGCCTTCATCGTTTTCATGATCAGCAGAAAGTCAAGGCCTTGCTTGCAGCTTTGTACCAGTCTTCTCACCAAAACTCTCCCTCACCCTCACGGGACCTCTTAGCACCATGACGTCTTCCAGTACTGAACGATTGATCCCTCTTGAACTTGTGTCCAACGCAAGTGATTCCGACATCTTTTGCTGTGATCATATGGTTGCAGCTAACGTTCCATAATGGATGTCCAGGCCTCTCTTCTTAGTGCATCTTAGTCTGGAAGAACTGCTAAAACCTGTCCACAAGGGGTGACCCTGCTGGTATTTCATAAATTGGTGCCACAGTTGATAGCAATGAGTAAACCTCCATAGTAAGTGATATTTGGTAACGTTTGTCACACTAAATACCTGTATTAGAAAAGAAAAGGTATTCCACATCAATGACTTCAGAATCATTATAAAAAGTACAATAAATTAAACTCAAATGAAACAAACAAACAAAAAAATCAAAGCAAAAACTGACCAAGAGAAAATCATTAGGACAATGAATGACACAGAAGTATTAGGTGAACATAATTACACATCTCTAAGAAAATTATCTGATTATTGGTAGATTACAATGGCATCTTTCTAATGATAAAGCATTCTTATTTCCTTTGATAAGCCATTTTATCATAATATATTAAGTTTTTATAGGATTCTGAATTCAATTGATAAAATCAATTCATCCACAGTATTTTTTAAACACACTAGGATAAAAGATAGAAATTTATTTATGAGTGTCAACAATGAGATCAATTGTTTGAATACTTTGCATTAGAGATATTAAAAGCATAATAAGGTGATATGAGCAATTATGAGAAATTTCAATAAACTATACAACTAAACAACCAATAAACTACAAAACTTAGGTGAATTGTTAAATTTCTTGGCATCCCCAACCAACTAAACTCAATCAAGGTAGACTAGATAACATGGGTATGCTTAATTTTAATAGATAAATTTGACTCATACTTAAAAATCAAAATATTCCCCAAAAGACAATTCCAAGAACAGATTAATAAGTTCACCGGTGAAGTCTAGTCAATATTTAAAGAGGAAAAGATTATAGTTCTACATAGACATGTTCACAGAATTGAAGTTCACAGAATATGAAATATCTGACTTTTCATTTTCCCCTCCCTTGATAATTTATAAATTATTATTATTTCGTCATATCTTCCACTGTCTGACATCTCCCTTCACCCACTTTCTGTTGTCTGTTCCCCAGGAAGGGGGTTATATGTAGATCCTTTTAACCGTTTCCCCTTTTCTACCCCACCTTCTCTCCACCCTCCTGGTATCACCACTTTCATCACTGGTCCTGAAGGGTTCATCTGTCCTGGACTCCCTGTTTTCAGTTCCTATCTGTACCAGTGTACATCCTCTGGTCTAGTCAGATTTGTTAGGTAGAATATGGATCATGATAGAGGGAGGATGAGAGGGAGGAAGCATTTAGGAGTTAGAGGAAAATTATATGTTTCATCATTGCTACACTGCACCCTAATTGCCTCATCTCCTCCCCATTACCCTTCCGTAAAGGGATGTCCAGTTTCCTACAGATGGGCTTTAGGTCCCCACTCCACATTCCCTGTCATTCACAGTGATAAGATTTTTTGTTCTATGATGCCTGATACCTGATCCCTGGGACACCTAGTGGTCACACAGGCTGGTGTGCTTCTAAAGGAGCTGATACCAAGGGCTGAAATAGAAAACAAATATTTTGAGAATGATGATGGCAACAAATGTACAAATGTACTGGACACAATGGGTATATTTGAGGATTGTGATGGGTTGTACGAGTACCCAAAATGATTTTTTAAAAAAAGAAAAAATATGACTTTTCATTCTTAAACTTTGCATTATGCAAAGTCTACAATGCAAACCAAACTAGAACCTTACAAACTCTTTTAAAAATGCTGTAGATTTTTAAAATGTTGAATGTTACCAATTGAATCCCAAGTCCTATGAAAGGTAGTGTGCTATGATCAAATGCTTTATCAAAAGACTCAAGAATGTTTTATGATTAGAAACATGCCAATGACAAGGGAATAGAGAACAACAGACATCTCCATGGAGAAGGTAAGCAAGTGTTTACCCTCGTATCAGAAACAATACACTGTTGTTTATTCTCTCCTCTTCTGTTCAGCATGTAAAGCTTGCCAGAACATCTATACTGTTAGAGAGGCTGCAGTGAATCCCAGATCTTTGGGGCTGCATGGTGCTGACAAAGGCCAGTGTTGGAGTGCTCTGGAAACCTACAGAATGATGAGCAGTTACCAGAGCCTGTGCTGAGCTGCTCAGCTCTCTTCCTGAGTTCCAGCTGCTCCACAGCATGAACCTGCCTTCAAAGTGCCTGTTTCTGTTCTTTGCAGGACACAGGCTGCTGGTGGCCAGGCCGAACAGAAAAGTGACTATGTGAAGAGGCAGAGCCAATGCTAGCAGCCCACTGATATCTGAGCCTGCCAGCAGGGAGAGTTGGGAAGGACCTTTGGGTCCAGGATTCATATGTGATGCAAAAAGCATAACTTGTTCCATATCCTAT